TCTTGAAAGCATTCTGCTAGTTCTGCGTAGCATTCCTAGTGTAGATGATGACTTAATTCTGCGTATAAGGATTGTTCCTTTCTTGAAAGCGTCTAGTCAATGAAAACACCTGCTGTAAGTACTTAAACTTACCTACCCTTTTTAAGCTGACATTTTCAGCTTAGAAACTAAAGTTCTCAACTGATCGAAGCAAGGCGTTTGCGGGTAAATAATACTATACGGAATACATAATAAATAAATAATACTAAATTAATAAATAAATAAAATAAATAATACTAAATGAATAAATAAATGATCTGAAATAAATAGGCTTCTATATTTAAGGCGGAAACAAGAATATCAATACTGTCTATCCTCATTGCAATGATAAAAATTGGCCACGAGTAAAACCGAAGTCCTGAATTGTAAAAGGTATACCTATAAACGCAGGTGAGTACTTTCTTCTTCTTTTTTTTTTCAAGGCAAACCTCAATTTAAATTTTACCCTGTATTAAAACGCTGATTTTGAGTGCAAATATTAAAATCTAAGTTATGGTGCATATCAAACTAGAAATCCTTTCAGGGGTCTTTTTAACCTTTTGTTTTTGTCTAGGTCTTTCGGGAATGATTCTTTTTTCCGTGTTTTGCAAGATGACCACGTCCTGCATGGCTGGAATGATGCCCTTGCGAAAAGCAATGGAAAGGAGCTCCTCTGCGGTCTTTGTTTGAGGATACTGACGAATGGCCCACTTGAGGTAGAGTGCAAACTCATTCCAATCCACTCTGCCGTCTTCATCCATATCAATGGCCTTCAGTGCGCGTCTTGTGTCATCGCACCTATAGCAGCCAAAGTAGGGCGCCATAAAGCCGTTGTAAAATGAATCGAACTCAAGCTCGTCATCTCCTTTTGATTCCTCTCTAAGATCCCACTCATCCCACATTTGCCGAATTTCGTTGATCAGTCTTTGAGCGTGAGCCTCGTTTGGAACATCTGCTGCAATCACGTCGCTCATCTTGGCGGTTATTTGGCCACCAGACCGGTCAAATAGAACTGCAAGACCAACTTCGCTCATGTATTCCTCTTTCCTATTGTTGTGCAGATCTTCCAGCATGACCTCCTTCATTGTCATGCCTATTTCCTCCGTGAACTGGGGATCCTCTCCGAACAAATGTTTTAGTCTTTCAGCGATCATTTTAGGTGTGGCCACGGTAGTTATTCGCATTGGGGGCTCTTCTCCAAAGAACTTGGCAACATCAAATTCTTGCTTGTCTGGCTGCAGATGGGGAAATCCGAGAACCATATCAAGGGCTCTCTCACCATACACAATCTGTGTTGAATGAGGTTCAAACCCAGTTGTGACCCTAGTGATCTCTTGAGCGGCTTTACGAAGGTACGTACAGTTAAACTGTTGCAGAACCTTTTCATTTCCAAGACGAACCAAGTTCATTATGGTCACGCTGGAGGAAGCGTGACCAATGGCGGAACCTTCTTTAATCAAACTAGCCCATATACCATCTGCTCCCTTGGCAAGACACTCCAACACGGTGCAGTCAGCCATTCCCCATTGCTCGTGGACATGCACCAATAGCTTACCTTCCTTCCAGCAACAATCTTCCATCTCTCTACGAACTGCCGCCGTCCAGGCAGCGAGTTCATGTGGCATGGACTTGCCAGTTGGTTCTTCGTACATCAAACCAAAGGGACGCTCACTTGGGGGCAAAGAGGACAAGTAATGGACCACTTGGAAAATTTGTTCAGGCTTCCTCAGCATACTCTCTGGAAAGTCTCGTAGGTTGATAATTATGCGAGAATCCTTGGAAAGATTTTCTCTCACCCACCTCATTCGATCAGAAAGAAGGTTGTTGATATCTTCAGGAAGAAACTTTTTGTAATCGATGCCACCGTAGACTAAGTCAACCTCAATAATGGCATGTTTGATGCCATACTCTTTCATCTTTTTGAAACCAATGGGAACAGTTGCTGTATCGGGAGCTCTATCTTTGTCGACAGATTCAATGAACTCCGTGAAGGCAAAAAATTTACTGAAGTCTTCTCCTTTTTCTTTAAGTTGACGGCAGAATGTGTCCCCCAGGCGGGTCATGTGGTTAAACGATGCGACGATGATATTCTGGAAGCCTACTTTTTTCACCTATAGATGAATAATAACGAAACAAAAAAATGGGGAGTTAGGGCGTTCCTATATATTTTTTTTGTAAGGTTAGTTTCTGGGAGAAGGGTGGGAAGAATTAGTGGGCAAGAGTGACAGAAGAGAGACGAGGAGAGGAATATGGATAAACAAAAGGAGATCGATTAGAAGTGACTGGTGGAGACGAAGAAGAAACAGATGCAGAAGAAGGAGAAAGAGAAGGTAATGGAGGAAAAGGTGAAAAATAAGGGTGGGGACGGAGGAAGTGAAGAGTGTGAGACATGAAGAGGGGGTAGGAGGAGAAGAGAGGGCAGGGAAGCTGAGGGAGGAAGATAAGAGGAGAAAAAGGAGCAGAATAAGGAGAAGATGAATCAGAACGTGGATTAGCAAGAGGATAAGAAGAAAAGTGTAGAAGAAGAGACAAAGGGTTGAAGGAGACTGGGAGAATTAAGTAGAAGAGAAAGGAGTATCGGGGCGGCTATTGAGAGGCGGTAGAATGAGAAGGAGAGCTTAAGGAGGTGGAGTAGAAGAGAGAAAAAGGGAAAGAGGGGCTTTAGGAGGGAAAAAAGAATAGATAAGGAACAGAAAAAGAGAACGGGAGACAAGAAGGGAAAGGTAAATGAGGAAAGGCAAGAAGAGGAGGAGCAAGAGGCAGATTCAGAAAACTAACGAAATGGAGGGGGAAGAGAAGAAAAGAAACAGATTAAGTTGAAGTCCTTAGCCAAGTGAACATCATATCACACTCTTCCAGTCTACAAATTTTATTCAGTTATAGAGTAATCATAAGAAATATTCAGATGGGACTGGCTCACCTCATTGTATATTTTCCATTTGTTTTCGACAGTATGGCCTCGGAGCTGTCCCACAGTGCTTTCTCGGAGGGAATTGTCCAAAACGAAAAGGTCCAGTTCCTTAAGTTGCTTCAGTTGTTCTTTTGGTTCTCGTAAGTCCTCGTTCATGCGGTTAATTTGTTCCAGGAAAGACATGGTAGATTTACTTGAGCTAAAAAAAGGAACACGAAGAGGAGTCAATTCTGAATCAGTTGCAAGACTTTGATGATCTCAAGTCTGACTATGGTTCTATTTAGGAACAATTTGAATCGTTTCGTGTAGTTCTCAATCGGCTTCAGCCCCATCTTTATGAACCTAGTTTAATGGCCTTTACTCCCACGATTCTCCTGTAGCTTAGTGGCAGAGCATCTGGTCTAGAAGCCAGAAGGTGATAAGTTCGACTCCTATTGGAAGTACTGGGATTTTTTCTTCTGAGCCGCCAGTGTCACTGAATGTGAAAAACGCATCTTTCTCAATATCTTAGTCTTAACACATCACGGAAGATTTGGAAAAGTTAAGACGACCTCTCTCCGCAAATTTTATCGAACTTTGCAACTAGTTATTTTCAATGATTACTCGATGAAAACAAAGCATCACCTTATCGTCAACAGTCAAAAATCTATTTGTCCGGTAGAGCTTTCTCCTCCTAGAGTGCCTGTTGTCTTTAAAATTTTATCGGGGCAAATACATGTTTATTCGATGGAGTCAGTTCTTATATCCTTATTTGTTTGAATGGTAATAATTCTGAGAATCCGATCACTTCCTCGTTACAAATCTTTCTTACTGATGTAATAAGGGAGGGGCGATTTTGTGCTTTTTGTGCTTTTTATTCCTGTCTTGAAACCAATAGTTCAGGTTTGAAACAGGGGGGAGCTCCCAAAGGAATTTTAGGTAGCGGTATGCCGTCGTAGCCTTTTAATACCTGACCTTGATAAAGAAAAGTTATCTTTGTTATGACCCTGATTCGTTTCGTTTTGCATGCACAGCTAAGTAATTTTTCAAACTAACACCAATGAATTAGATTTTCTGGAAAGACTGTTGATTCCACTAATCTATACCAAGCATCGCTAACTTTCACGCTCCTTTAAAGACCTCCGGTTCAAAAAAGATACCCTGTTCAAGACGCTGAATAATGAAATTAGTATATAGAACCAAATAAGGGAGTGCCCCCCCCCCCCCCGGTAGCTACTATTCTGGGTGTCAGTATTTACTAATCTGAGAAATCAGGAGAAAAGCTAGCGTCTGACGTTTCCTTGTCACATCAGAATTCACATGCATGCTTAGCCGATGACATCAATTCCTTTATTCTAATATGCTCGCATAGCAACTAAATTATATTCCTGGAAACCGATCACTTCCTCAATCGAATCTCCTGTTAGGTATGCATGAACACACGAATATTACTTAGTAATTGTTTTCTTGAGTTTGGCCTCTTATTTAATTGAAATAGCGATTGGAAGTACTTCGATTTTTAGAATAACTAGACGCAGGCAAGGTAGAAACAAGGGTTTTCAGTATTATTATTTAGTTATAGCATTATTACGCAATGTATTAATATGTGAACTACAATCATGGTAATTTAATTATGCATGGAAAGGTTTCTAAATTTACTTGTCAACGTAACGACTTTCATCACTTTCAGGTAAATTGGAAAAGAGAAAAGTTGGTCGCACATGAAATAAAAAACGATAAACAGTTCATTGAGAAGGACAAACGCTAAACGCTATGGATCTCGTTCAACGGATCTTCTATCCGTTATAACATTCCTAAATCAAACAAGGAAGTGTTGCACATCACTTCAGTTTGTTTATGCTTTAATGAAGGTTATTTTTATTAGGAAAGCCGAAGTTTCGCTCTTTTAGCATATTGTGCCCCTGATAAACAAGCAGTTTTCTGAGATATGAAATGAAAACAGATCGCTCATTGTTTGCAAATACAGTCACTGGATTAGGATAACAAAAAACCTCGTGCCAATTTCGAGACCGCAAATGCTGAAATCAAACTTTTACATTAAAACAGTTTTCTTAAAATGGAATAAAGGACATTTAAAGAATTGACCAGATCACTGCTAATTATAGAAAACGTAAGTCGGCTGTTTTTTATAATCAATTTTCATAAACCACTTTACTTGGAAACATAAACGAGGAGCAACAAAATGATAAGTACTCTATACAGCCATAGGAATTTCTTTGACCTTCCAGATGTTAGAAAGAATTTCGTAGCACTTGTTGGATTAAAAAGCCAAAAACATGGCAAAAAGACGATGCTGTTCTTTAGGGCTGTCCTTCCGGGTGAAGATCGAAAAAGGAAGCAAGACCTTGAGCAGGGACTGAGATATTACACTCAAACTCAACTCGACTCTATACTTGCGGATTAGAACTTTGCTCAAGTTTGCCAAATTTCTCTGTACTACACTAAGGAGTCATAATTTTTTATGTTTCTTAACTGACAAAATTGAGTTTAAATATGACCGCATCAACAGATATCACAATAAATTATCATAGTTGCACGATCCCTTCAACTTTTTTTGTCCTCTGAGTCAAAGTGGTCAACTGATTTATTCAACATATTCAAGAGAGACTACAAACTTCCTTGTTTCAACCTGTTTTGTACTTGTACTCGTTTAGGAGTTGTTTATAGACACCATGAGTAAAAACTTAACGGGTTAAAGTTATCGTGTTTAAGTAAAAGAAATTGAGACTCCAATATTTATATTTCGAAAGAAAAATGGAACAAGAATATTTTACTAAGTTTGCAAAAATTATATTTTTTGCGTGTTATGAAGACATTTTCAACGGTGCCAAATGACGAGACGTTGCCTTACTTAAGGGGGGTTTATTCGTCAATAGGGTTTTTCCGGAATCTAAGTGCTTTGCACTAATGACGTCACAAATCGTGACTCAGACGTTTAAAAACCTAACTAGTATAAGAATTTCGTATGGGAAAGACACGTTCGAAATTTTCGTCGTCTTTGAAGATTTTTATCGTCAAAAGAAACAAAATCCAGCTTGGTTTCGATGACATATATCCTGAAAATAATCAACGTGTGCCAAGACAACGTTAAACATGTGAGTAAAATTATATTACGGCATTTCACTAAGAAATGCATGGAGAGCACGGCTTTAAAGCTTTTCATAAAACGGTGCATATTGGTTAAATTTATGGGCAAAAGTTGCTCAGTTTTTTTTTGAGTGCTTATATTACGCTACTTAGTACTACAGGATATACTACCTGGCCGCACAACAACACAACAAACTTATCAATTTCCGGTTTGTGCTAATGTGGTGTGCTTTTCAGCTTAGAAATTCTGCCACAGTCTTGCAAGAGGCGCATACAAACTCAATTTTCTCTCGTTAGCAATTTTCGGTTTTGGAGTATTTATTTACACAGCCAGAAATATTATGTCATGTCTCGGTGCATAGAGTGCTATCTAAGGATCCGATTTCGGTAGCCTTCTTTGATGAGGTCGCTGTATTTTCTGATTTCAACCGTTTATTTGAGTTACATGGACCAGGTTTTGCTCCCTATAGCAATAATGCCTTTTATATATTAGAATAAAGCTCAAAAAAACATTTTTACAACGCTCATTGCGAATTTTATGAACAGTTTTCATGTCGGAAACGCATGTTGCTCATACAAAGCCTTTGAGTAGAATGCAAAGTTTGTCTGAGTCACGCGGGGGGTCCAAGTGACAAAACTATTTTTATCGTGTAAAGCGCTATTGTCTGGTAAGTGGTTGATAAAACTAGTACAATTAAAATCATCAGTTTGAAACGAGGAAGTTGATTTGTGGTTTTCCTATAGTTAAATAATCGTTGACCACTTTGAACGTAAACGGAATATAAAAGGTTGATTTCATATCTTTTGGTAAAACAAAAAAGAAGGTGCTCTTTACTTTTAAATTCTTATTTTAATTGCTAACCTTGAAAATGTCAGCAACTACTCCGTTCAACGTGTCAGGTACAAATGAACAGGCGGGGACACTTCATTCTTGGAAGCTTTTAGGTCTTGGCCGGTTCTATTTTACTTTTAAATTCTTATTTTAATTGCTAACCTTGAAAATGTCAGCAACTACTCCGTTCAACGTGTCAGGTACAAATGAACAGGCGGGGACACTTCATTCTTGGAAGCTTTTAGGTCTTGGCCGGTTCTATTAGTCCAGCTGTTATCGACCAAAATTGTTCACTTTTATGATAAAAGCATGAAACTTTACCAGATTACAACCAACCCTTAGACTAACATTTCTGGATATGGAGCCAAGCCAAATTCAACACTGAACACGAGTACTGCGCAGGCCCTAAAATGGCCTACATGAGAACGAGGCTGTTAGTGGAAATCCTTCTAAAATACCGTTTTTGAGTGTTTCTGTAAATAAAAGTCGTAGATATTGTGGAAGAAGACATTTGCTTTACTGCCATGCTTTCTTCGGTGTCACGTGACCCCTCCTTCCAAATATGGCGGGCTATTGTTGGGTGTCCTGTGCTGAAGCTGTTTTCTGTGCATTTGTGTGTTTAAAGGGGTGAGAAGGGGCAGCTTTTCAGTCAAGTTCAAATGATAACACTCTTGCAACTATTGTCCAATTATCAACCGCTATTTTTTACCATACAAGTGCAAATAATTACATGAAAACGAGGCAAAAATCTTTTCAGCGGTTTGAAAAGCCTCCAGTTAGCCCTGCGTGCAGTCATCTTGAGTTGGATTTATAGACCATTGCCTAAAAGCCTGAATTGATCAAAAATTGTGATCGCATTGCGTTTTTGCAGCGTTTTTTTCGCCACAGACGACAATCGAAAGTCACATGACATAGACTTTTTCCTTAAATATGCCATATTGAAGGAATTGAAGAGCCCCCCTTCCTGATAGTTGTATCCTCAAGATAGTTGTAGATGTCACTGTGTCTTAAGAGTAGGTTATACACCAGTTTTGCCAATGGTGAATCGACACCGTCCCAAAGAAGCAGTTTTTCTTTCATTTAAGAGTTCATAGCCACAGCCTGCGACGATATACCCCTTAGTCAAAGTTAAAACCTTTAGACTTGTATGCCTCAGAAGTGTTGTTCCCTACACATATCCCACTGATACACTGCTCGAAGGGTATGTTGCATCTGCACTACTCGAGTTGAGGAAACACTATGAAGGTCACTTTATCTTCTTTTT